GTGATGCTCCTTACCGCATCCTGAGATTCTACACTTGAATCCCTTTGTACACGACTTGGCGCAGTGTCCTTCTTCAAGGCAGGCTCTGCAAAGACCGTGTTGCTTCACCGTCTTAAGACGATCTTTTAGAGAAGAACTTTTGAATTTCCAGCATCTCCAAACTCCGTGAGTTCCTGAACATTGTGGGCATTTGTGAGCGATCGCAGATGGGCATTGGCTCTGATCACTTTGAACGGCTGCTAAGGTCGTGACTTTATATCTTTGGTCAGATCTTTCTTTCTTTGGATCTCTTCTTTCCTTTTCTGTCGTCGAGGAAGTCACCCTTAGTTCCTGTCCGTATCTGTTGTTAATTCTGTCCGCTGTATTCTTAACGAACTGGACGAAGTCTGTATACTCAGCTCTGCCCTTTATCTTGATAAGATCTCCAGCTTTGTCGGCCCATTTCCTCTTTAAGCCTTCGTCTGGCAGTTTTCTCATCAGCATGACTATGGTCTCTTCGTTGTCCAAGCGACTTGAATAACTGAAACCCATGTTAGTAAGCACTCTCCTTGCGTCTTCCAGCTTCCTCGCGAACTCCATCAGGCTGCTAGCGTCAGCTCTTCTGATCAGAATCTCTTTCCACGCTTCAACGTATCTTTCGCAAACCGGGAGGTTCACGCAGCTTCTAATTGCTTCCTTCGCCTTTCCTACGCATTGTGCTAGTAAACGGGTAAGTCTCTGCGACTCGTCCGACACTTGACTTTCGATGTTATTCTTGAAATTTGTAACGAACTCTGCGTACTCCAGGGGGTCTCCACTAAACTTCATTAATTCAACTTTCGGTAGGGACGGACCTTGTTTGATTGCTTGCGCTATCGTCGTCCAAGCGTCTACCATGGAACTTTCTCTGGGTAGTGATGGAGGGGTATACGAGGGACGAAACTCTGTCGGCGTTGGATTCTGAACAGCTGGAACATACGGCGACGCCGATGCTCTCAGCGCCATCCCTTGGCTCACTTGCGGCGAGCTAGGGAGTTTCTCCGTAAGGGTAACGGGTGTGGACGCCATTTTCGGGCTCGTATAACAACAATTAGTATAAACACTGGGAATGGTGTGGTGACACGATGGAAGTGGATCAGGAACCTGCATGTGCGTACCTCTCATCGCGAATTCACTAGTCAGTACAGGTACGAAAGTTTTCTTGGAATACTGGTCATCTCTTTTCAATGGGGATTGAGGCCGTGGGCGGCTGAACTGGGGCGTAATCTCAATGTGGTTCTCGCTTTCCCAACGGGAATGTTCAACGTTTTCTTCCGTAACGTATTGTTCTAGCATCAATTCTAGAGCAGCCTGCTTCGCCTGGGTTTCCGCGTCTATCAGCTCGATTTTTCTGCTAAGTTTTGCCTTTTGCTTTTCTATCTGCTCCATTTGGCGATCTAAATCTTGTTTCTGCTTCAGCGCATTTACTCTAAGTCTCGCTTCTTCCATAAATTTCGTTTTCTCTTTTATACTAGACGAACTAGAAGCACGACTGAATCCAGATTCGGATGGGGACTTTGGTCTTTGCTTGTTGGCTCTCCACTCATTCAACAAG